ATAAGCCCATTTTTTTCTTTACCACTTTATACATTATTTTCGCTGTTTTTTTCGCTATGACCAAAGTTACTGCAAAAAACATAATTCCACGAAGCTTAAATGGACGCAGAAACAATAGAAAACACATATTATTAAGAAGTGGAATATGCTATTCTCGTACTAAAGATAATAAAAATGAAGTCGTTACGAACTTTATTGTTTCTACGGGACAACCAGCTGTAATTCCAGACCGCGTAAGCCAGGGCGTAAGTGGACATAGCTGCGGCTTCCGCGTGCGCTTTGCTAGCGATGGTGTATTTTGCCTGCCCTTCGTTAGCAATCAATTAAAAAAGAAAATAATACGTATAAAGTCTATTCTAAAGACGTCCAGTAAGTACAATTAAGAAAGTTACGTACGTCCAGTTCCTGGTGTACCTGAACCAGAGCCAAAACATACGATAGCGTTGCGAAAATATTTGGAATCGCTTTGTTTAAACGAACAAGTATTAAGTCGTGAGATATTGCTTCGTCTCGGGACTTATATGTTGGATTGTTTTGTTTCTCAAGGATGGTGTCGTCCTTTTATTAATCCTGTACTTGAATCGGCTCGGATTTATCACCTTCGCATCGCACGTCCGATGGATTTATTAACAGTTGAACATAAACTTTGGGCAGGAGAATACGATGGTGCAGTTTCAAAATTCTATGATGATTTAGCACAGATTATTTATAATGCATTCAAATTCCATGAAGAAATTCCGTAATATTCAAAGAAGCAGATTCGATGCTTACGTGTTTTGTCAATTTAACAACGAAGTTTTCGAAACCACCACATGATATAAATAAATTGGACTTCGCACTTGCTCAGATTGGTGCTAAACTCCCTCATGAAGAATTTGATGATGTTTGTAGAGTAGTACCAAATATTAAGAGGTACTCATTTTTTTTTGGTTTCCTTTTTTAACGGTTTCTTTTGTTTAATAATATTTTTTTTTTTTTCGCGTGTAAATTAGTAAAATATATATAGTACCTTTGTATTCGTTCCTTCAAGTTACAAGGAGTGGTAGTAACGTTGCAAAACTTCCCTATGCTGCCGCTGAACGTTTGGATCCGATGTCAAGTTCTCTTTTTGACACATTCGAACGTGAAAGTCTCCCTCCGGTTAAATTTCAACCAACAGAAACGCATTGCAACTTTGCGCGTCTATACATCACCAAGGGTTCAAAGAATATTAAAAAATGTAGAGATGAACGCAATGCAATTCTCGTAATTGTGAAGGATGTTTCTTATGAAATCAGTGAGAATCGATTGCGATGTAATGTGATCATTTCAAAACCATTTGGCGAGCTACGTGATCTCGACACGTTCGAATTATCAGATGCACGATATTGGATCCGAGTTGCTTTACTTGATAAAAAGGCACTCGATCTTAAAGTTGGGCCAAAATTCTTTAAAGAATACTTACGAGAACCTTTTAAGGTTTCGGAATATGAACAACAGCGGGACAATAAAAATTTTTTGAAAGCTTTGAATCTATCTAAGTCACGTTGATTGAAATTATCACGTGATCTTTTTTTTTAATTTATTTTCAATTATTTTTTATTTATTTATTTTATTTATTTTCGATCAATACGATCAATACAAATAATCAAATTTAGATAAATTATTACTTTTT